AAAAAAAGATGCTGTGTGGGGTGTGTGTGTGTGTGTGTGTGTGTGTGTGTGAGAGAGAGAGAGAGAGAGAGAGAGAACCATTATGAAGTTTAGACCAATTAAAGCTTTTCAAGATCCATCAGTATTAGATAGATACATAGTACACATGGTCACCAACCTTCCTTTTTTCTACTCTTCATAAAATATAGAAAGGAAGATTTACATATAATATGTAATTCCAAATACATGCACAGTGAACAAATATATTTTTCAAAAAGTTCTAAATGGCTCCAAAAAAAGGTAATAATACACATTATACAAGAGCTAAAGAATAATCTTCAACTAAGAAGAAAATGCATATGCTAGAATCTCCCTGGTTTATGGTATCCTACAGAAACATCCTTATTATCAATTGGCATTGGCATAGACTGAGAATTTTCTATGGATAAATATACATCTTTAAAACCTTTTATGGATCCAAAATGCCATAGATATTTAAAAACAACATTTTAGGGCAGGATTAAGAAGAAAAAAAATGGACTGATCCAAACTTGAGCATCTAAACATCACAGATAATATAGACAACTAACTATAATACATAATTATGTGTAATATGTGATATATAAATATACATGTGTAATATAATAGGTAACTATAAATATTTTGGTTTTTCATTAACTATATCTAATAAAGAGGATTCCAAAATCTTCTTGAGTTGTTTCATTAACTCATAAAACAGACCCAATAAAACTTATTCTATTACATAATCTTGCTTCATTCCATTGTTGAAGAATTGATAAGCCATTTTTACCTGTTGCTCATAAACATGGGAACTGAGCCACTAGAAAGAAAAAAGTTGGCCACAAAGTTTCACTGCAGAGAAGTTAAATTTAGGAATATTTAGCAAACTAAAAAAAGTATGATCTTAGAATGAGTGATAAAATTGACAAATCTTTAATATGCACAAAATCAGAAAATATACAAATAATTTACCCAGATTGTATAAATAATTAGAAAAGGCAAAGTTTTAATGGTATTAATACAATACCTTCTTCTCCCTCTGGTGTGTACTTAGGAAAATAGAGCAAATCAAAATAGTAGATTGTTTTATTAGTACAACCTCATGAGGAAAAGCAACTAATACAATAATTCTTAAATTTTTGCTAATATGGAAACTTCTAGGAATAAGTAACAGGTTTGAGTTATAAATCTTAACTATACAATCTTATTACCTTAAATATCTATAATAACTAGTCATACTTTATAATAATGGCTCATAGGTATATATCAAAGAATCAATCAAATTCAGACTACCATAGTTAAATTACATGATTAATAAGTAAATATTTGCAAGTTTTTGAAGAGTTTACTCCTATTGATTAACTTTTACTTTCATTCACTTTTATTCTATTGCAAATTACTCTATTGGTATCCCTGGAAATGTCAAGAGATATATCGAGGGAACCAAAATATTTGCTGCTGAAATGAATTTTAGAACAACTGGGCTAAACAAAGTTAAATTGTGTTAATTTAAAATAAAATTTGAGGACTTTTCAAGTCTTTAACATTTGTGACTGGGACAAAGTAGAAGAGGAAGGGATGTCATATGCATTGTTTCACAAAGCTATTTCACTCAAAATTATTTTTTTTCCTTTTGAAATATAAAATGTTCCTTTCCATTTATTTTTTATTTTTATTTATTTATTGTTATTAGGTTTTTACTTTTTGTTTTGTTTTGGTACCAGTGATTGAACCTGGGACTTTGCACCAATGCTAGGCAAGTGCTGCACCACTGAGCTAGAGCCCAGTCCTTTTTATTTTGAGGCAGGGTGTCAATAAATTGCCCATATTGGTCTCAATCTTTCGATTCCCCTGTCTCAGCCTCTGTAAATCATTGGGATTACAGATGTGTGCCCCCGTGTCAGGCTGCTTACTGTTTATTTAATCAGATATTCTACTTACCTTACACCTCCCTTTGATCATAATAAAGGCAAAAATTTGATATAATTGCAACTCTACCACTAATTAGACTCAGAATTATTAAGATTTTGAGACACAAAATAAAATTTTTGATTATATAAATATTAGTGAAGAAACAGTAGCTTGACTAGAAACAAAAGTCCTGAACTAAAACACCTTACCTCCACAATAAATCTTGATTTGTAATTTTGAGGCATGTGTTAAGGTTTGGAAATGTAAAATGTAACCAAGTAATTAAACCAAGCATAATGTTTTACTGATGATATAAGCTTTTCCATTTAAAATTGTGTAATTCAACCAGAGTATGTTTTCTGTCCTGGCCTGAATTATTCCAATTTTAAAATATAGCTGCATAAGCATGAAGATATTTGTCATTCATTGGCATAAGAATAATCCCTCATATAAAACTGGTCTATTTTTGCCTTTTGCAAGAAAATAATTCTAACATCCATATTGAGCACCTACTTAATTTCATGTAATACTCACATCAATTGGGGAAGGTAGATATGATTGCCACTTCACAGATGAGGAAAGTTATTACCAGAGAGAAAGACTGGCTGTCTTGCCCTAGGCCATACAGCAATAAATAGATAGATAGATAGATAGATAGATAGATAGATGGATGTAAAACTTTCAGACTTTAATCTGACACCAAAGATGCTAGCTACTGTTTCTATTATATCATGCTAGATAGAGTGATCCACATCTAATATAAATGTGTTCTTTCCTCCACTAACTAAGCATCAGTGACAGCCAATATTCTTTATGTAGAGCATTTGCAATGTAGATTTACAGTTTGGAAAACAAGTATTAAAGAAGCAGACTCTCCTCCTGTTTATCATTCGCTATTGAATAAATGAAACACATTGGGAATTAAAAAAAAAATTCTCAAAGTTGATGATACAGTTCATATCCTTTAGTTTTTAAGGCAATAATAACAAGCTGGCTCATGAATTTCCTTCCCAATATGTAACCTCAAAGCTTTGCATTAAAAACTGCCATGCAAAAAAAAAACAACATACATTTGTGTTATTGGAGGTTCAATAATTGCTGTATTCTAATGTTACCTATTGTATTTTTTTTTCTTTTGACTCTGGTTGTCTGATTTTAAAATATTAACTATGCCTTTCTCATTTTTTTTTGTTATTATTGTCTAAAAATGTACTTAAGCAATAGCAAAACTAATTAAAATATAATAGGCCTTGGAGAAATAACATTAAGCAAATATTTTGCCAGTTTGAGTGTCTACTCTTCAAAACATAAAAAAAAAAAAAAAACAACAACAAAATAAACAACCACCTTAAGAGGATTCAGTATTCCTTTTGGGATCAGCACTGTACTGAAAGCATAAGGGGTCAAGAAGAGTTTGGACAAATGTTCTTTATATCTCTGAAGTTTGCAATTTGTCTGGTAAGCCAAACATACTGTCCAGAGGTAGTCTTAGTCTTTATTTAATAATTTAGTTTGAAAATAGATGATATGGACATTCTGTTTTGTATCTGGGAACTGTGGAGGGGATGTGAGTAGGAGGGGTGAAACCATGGAGTCAAAAAGTTCTGCATCAGCTGGATTTTGAAAATCAAGCAGATATTTGATAGAAAGTACAGGAATGAATGAAGAGGAAAAGACAGAGTCACCCCAACACATAGATGCCAAAAAACTGAAGAGGGGGCAGCAGATAGACAGGGTGGAGTCCCTTAAAGACTCTTAATAAAACTGTGAAGTCAGCATATTTTATATCATTTGACCAGCCCTTTCCATGCTTTTTTTTTAAGCACCTCCCCCACTCCTTCCCACCTTTCCACCTTTCCACAGGTAGGTCTGCCCTATTTTGGAGGGTCACTAAATGGTCAGATGCATTCTACTACAGGACTCCTGAAGGCTAAGAAGTCTTGAAGAGTCAAAGAAAAGATCTTTAATAATGAAAATTGAAGCTATTGAGATGCTAACACCACTATTTTAACATCCCTTACATTTGCAGTAAATATATGAGGCCCAGTAAAAAGCTATGATGGTTCTGGAAAGGTAGCCTGGAGTCTGAATCTGAACTTGCGGATACTGGTAAACCATTAGAAGTTGCTGATTTTATTCAGAAACATGGATTTTCTGAAACTTATAAATTGGAGCAATGTCCTAGAAACAAGATGGGAAAGAATGAAGGCAGTCAAATCAGAGTTCAGCTTCAGCAGTCTATGCCTTATGTTTGGATAAAAACTTGGCACTATTTCACCTCAAGAGCATTCTATAGTCTATATTCTCCAAAAATTATAGTTTCCATTAGCTATCAATGACAATACATTTAATTACCTTATAATACAAATGTTTTCACTAGAAATTTTACTATGCTCTTCCTTAAATTCAAGTGAAAAAAATTATCCCTTAAAATATTTATGCAAAATTTCTTTTCAGTCATGTTAGAATCAAAAAGTGTTCAACTTATTCATCAGGAGATAGCCAAATATGATAAAATATTGGAAGTCTTACACAGTAGGCGTAGATTACAGTGTTTAAGGGAACACTGTTGTGTTATACTTCATTAGACTTTGGATACATTTTGAGTCATTTGCTCAGGAGACTTAAAAACTAACAAAGGGAATGCAGAGCTCATGTATTTACAAACCTTGACATTACTGGTTTCTTGTAGCATCAAACTCAAAGCAATTTGACGCACCTCTCTATGTGCAACTTCAATATGACATTTCCAAATTATTCTTTCAATTCATTTTCACACCTCACATAACCATGATAAATAACTTTCCTGGGTATGAAAGCAACACTCTACGAAACTTGATCCTTTCCAGTTTTGGCATTTTGAGAATGCCAATCACTCGCCTCTGTTTCTTCCTTACCCCAGTCTTTGGGACATTAAATATACGACACTTCAGGCAACTCCTCAAAGAATGCGTTTCAGGGAGCCCAAGCCGACCCTTGTTTTCGCGCGGGGGCGTTTTGTGAGACTTGGCCTTCCCACTTTGTCGCTATTTTTGGATGAAGGAGGAGTTGACAGAAGAAATGATTATTAACAAACAAACAAATCTCACCCATTCCGCGGGCAGCAACGGGGGCGGGTGTGCTCCGCTCCGCGCCCCGCCCCGCCGCACCCGCGCGCCCCCGGCCGGAAGGGGGCGTGGGACGCCGCCGAGGGAGGGGCGCGCAGACGCGCGAAGACCGGCCGCCCCGGGCACGCCGGGAGGGGGCGGGGGCCGCGGCGCTCGGGTCCTGCAGCGCTCGCCGGGCCACTCGCGCTCCCGCGCCGCGCCCGGCCGGCTACATGTGAAGCGCTGGCCCTCCGCCCCCTCCCTCCCCTTCCTTCCCTCCCTCCCTCCCTGTCCCCTCCTCCTCCGGCGCCCGCTCCCGCTCCCCCGGGCCCCCAGCCCGGCCGAGCGCTGACAGCAGGGGCGGGGGTCCCTGCCGCCGCCGCCGTGTCTCACACAGGCTCCGGCTGGGGCAGAGGAGCCCCCGGTGCGGCCATGAACCGGCCCCTGACGGCGTCGGCGGAGGCGGAGGAGGAACTGGAGTGGCAAGTGGCAAGTCGCAGGAGGAAGGCCTGGGCCAAGTGCCGCAGCTCCTGGCAGGCGTCGGAGACGGAGGATCTGTCCACAGAAGCGACGACTCTGGACGAGGACGAGGACGACGAGGAGGACCTCCCGGGCGCGAAGCTGCCTGCACCCACGGGGAGAGGTTGGTGCGCCGGGCCAGGCGGCGGCTGGCGCGGGAGACAGGGGCTGCGGGCCGGGGAAAGTCTCGTGAGTCCCGGGCGCCCGCTGAGTTCTAGGCGACCCTCGGTGCTCGATAGGCCAAGGGGACAGGGGACACTTCCAACCTTTAAACGCGCGCGTGTAACCTGGCGTGTCCAGCGTCCACATAGACACCTGGGTGCCCGGTGATTTCCCTTCAGATGGGCAGTAAGACTTGTTGCTCAGGCTGCATTTTGCCTCTAGTAGATTTTTCTATAGGGGAGTGTTCTGAGTGACCCAGCAATAGGAGTCCCTCTTGGCTTGGTAATAAGCTGTCCCCTTGCTCTGCCCCGCAGGAAACGTGCCCAATGAGAAGATCGCGATATGGCTCAAGGACTGCCGGTGAGTCCTCGCTGGCGTCCCAGAGGGAGATCAACAGGCATGGGACGCCGGAGCTTAGTGACTCTGGCCGGGTCCCCGTGGGTCCTGTGGCGGTTGTAAGCTAGGAACCGGAAAGTGAGCCACGGATAGCTTCCTCCTTTAAGCGATTAGAAATGGAAGTACTGTGGCTGTTATTTGAAGACCGTGTTGCGTTGACTTTTACAGTTATTAGGACCTCAGCTGTTGGTACATGATGTTAGCATTAGAGATCAGAAACCTGAAAGAGATCATTATGCCATGTTGTTACATTTGCCCAGTTTTTATTTGAAAAAAATCTTACATTTTACAGAATATTTTATTTTGCTTTCCTTTTGGCATGTGTCATCTGACATCGGATAATTTTCCTTCAAACGTGGGTTAGACTACCCTAAATGGGCTTTAATTTTATTTCTGTGCCTTAATTCTGTTTGGGGAGCTACTAAAACTAGTTAACTTTGTACTTGTAGTTTACTTCTTGGACAAGGATTTGTCAGATGGCACTGGAATTTACAAAAGGAAATAGAGCTTTGAAGGCATTCAGACTGCATAAATCTGTTTAATTGCATGCTTTGGCAACAGTTACAAAAATGTTTGATAAAATACAGAGGGGATGAATCATATTGCAAGTGAATCTGACTATAGTAAAATGTGCTTAGTTCACTTTTGTTTTCAATTTATTTGCTAGTTTAAAAATCTTGTATGAAGAATGTAACTTTTAAACTTTTGTTGGTGTTTGCTTTTGAGAATATTTTTGCTTTCTCAATTTAGGTTTGTCTTAATGTTTTCTTTAAGCATTAGAATGGGAAGTTATTTGGTTTTGAAAAGTTTGTTCTCCTGTATGCCAGTTTACTTTTTGTCCCCTAATGACAAATATTGGCTACTACTCTATTAATATACTGTTTTGATTAATTGACTGGAGCCTTATTGAATCTCTTCACTACAGAATTTCTTAATTTTTATTGGGGGTGTTATAGACACTGCTGAAATAGTATAAAATATATGGAGATTCTCTTTCAAGATACACAGAGGTGAATACACTGTTTGAAGTCACCCCCAGATTAACAATCTAGCTCTGATTTAACCCCCTCATTTCCAAAGTGGCTCTACTCAGCAGGATTAAGAAATCATAATAGTGTGCCACTGGTTCATTTAATTGTTAAACACCAAAATAGGTTAAATTTTGAAAGGTTGAAATTTTAAGCATCTTCTGGACATTTTAGGAGATATTTTGTAAAACCAGTTTTTTCAACTTTTCTCTTACAAAAGTGACTGAAGAGGATGTTTTGTTATTTTTTTCTCAGGTCTTTTAAACCTGCAATCTCAGTCTTGATTTAAATATAGTCCTAAATACAGTATTGACTGACTCTTGGTGTCTTATTATAGGTTTTGCCTTCAAAATAAGTTTGTTTCATTGTTTAAATTCAAGTGCATATTCAAAATAAGTTTTAAAAGTTAAGAACAAGGGAAAAATAACAATTGTTTTATGGTGTGTAGGAATTGAGATTGTGGAAGAGATCTTTTCAACTAGGTAGTGAACAAGTGAATAAGTGTCCTTCGGGATAAATGCAATAGCAAAATGTTGACATTCACTGGGAAATAGTGACCCCTGAAAATTCCAAAAGTTTTGTTGCTGAACTTGATTTCTGTAGGAACATTCTATAAGCCTGCTACTCCTCTCATACATAGTTTTTGTTCTTGTTCCTACAGTTGCACCTATTCTGTGAAAAAGCGCATTCATTTGTACTGGGGAAAGCTAGAACAAATAGTCTTTTAATGTTGTCATGTTATCATAGAGTTGACTGCTAGGATATGTGTAATTGTATTTTTTTTTTTTAATAGCTATTTAGAGTCCTTCCCAGATTTGAGCATCACCACCCCCATAAGTTCTCAAATGTTCTTTGTTTTCTCATTGCTGTCCATATCCTGAATAAAGACACTGGGTTTTCTTTCCATAAAGGGAGTTGTTGAGAACCATTTCTTTTTTAACTAAATGGAAACAAATTACTTGAATTGTTATCTAAAAAGGGAGATTTTGATAGAATTTGGAGAGAGTAACTATAAAAGTGAAGACTTGCTTTTGAAGGAGAATACCAGCTATATTCTGCTTATTTGCCATTTTTTTGTTAGTTCTCAGACCAGTGGAGACATCTGTGGCCAGAGTAATGCAGTATTTTGACCTAAGAAAGGAGCTAAAAGAAAGGGAAAAAGAAATGCTTTTTAAAGGCATAGAGTTTTATTAAAATATATGCAAAAATTTAGCTTAAAGGTTTTATTAATATCTTTATGACAATTGGTTGTGATTCTTTTACATTTCAGAAACACTACTTTTCAAAAAACTACCACTGCATGTATATTTGCTTGCAGAAGATTTTAAATTTTAATTGGCATTTCAGTGAAATTTTTTTGAAACAGATGTTTTAATGATTGATCCCATGTCTGATGTGAATTTGTAACAGGTGTCAATTGTTACTGAGAAAAGGTTTATATCCTAAAACAGAACTTGTAAAACAATGTTTCTTTCTATAACTTTGTTTTGAAAAAAAAAAAAAGTAAAAGTATTTTTGTATTTGAATAAAGAAATTTCTAAATTATATTTGGACAAAAAAAATGTGAAAAAATTTTAGCTGATTCTTAATGTTTATTCTCAAGCCAATTTTTTTAGTAATTTTCAGAATTAAATGAAACCAGTATGGAATTTTTAGTTTAAAAGGAAAAAGTGAATTTCAGGATTCTCCATTTATATCAGAAAATGTAGTTGCTGGTGTAGAGGAGTTACCACATGTTGCTTAGAAATGCTAGTGATAAATTGACAGATGAGGTTTAACCAAACTATTGAACCTCATTTCTAAATAGATTCTTAAAATTTTAAATTTGACTAAGGTTTAATTTACCTGCTACTGAAGATTTGTTTTATTCTAATTTTGTTTTTTGTTTCTGTGGAAAGGATTGAGAGGAATAGATATTTTCTAAATTTATACTATCATTTTTACTCCCCCCCCATTTTTTTTTTTTGGCAAAGAAAATGCCACTTCATATTATTTGTAATTACTATTCTTGTTCTTAATTGCTGGCAGATCAGATGTGATTCCTGGTGAACTGACTTGGCTATAGGTATTTGCTTAGTTAGTAGGATATTACTTATGTAATCCATTCACATTCCTGTGTGTTGAGAGAAGAGCTAAATTGCTTAGAAGCTTGCTTAGCTGTAACTTTTTAAGTAAGACTGTGTGTAACAGTTCTCCAGACACTTTTCACAAGACAGGCTTCTATGTTTTTGTGGTTTTAGTACACCTTTGGGAGCCTCACTGGATGAGCAAAGCACTGGGACACTGAGGGGTAAGACAAAGTTGCTCTTTTAAGCCTTTTTTTAAAAAAAAAATTATTTTTATTTTTTATGAGAGTCCTCCTTCATTTGCAATCTTGAGTGAAAGTGTACGTATCAATTATAAAAATGATCTTTATAAAAGAGGCTGTTCTTAGCTAGAAGCTCAAAGGAGAAACTATTATTAACCAAAAGAGGAAAGTTTAAGCAAATTACCAAACCTTTCCACAATATATGATGGTGGCATGGTTAGGCAACATAAAGGCTACATATAGAAATCTGATATGGAAACATAAGGGAAATGTGAGGAGTGAACTATGTCAACTTTAGTGCAACATTTCTTTGCTTACATTAACTAACATTGCCACACCTGAAATTTTACCACCCATGCAAGACAGAATTCTCAAGTTCAAAGTACAACAAGAATGTGCAGGTAGTGGCAAGGCATATAAAAACATTTACAGTGTCAGGAAAATCTAGCTTGAGCTCCTGGCTTAATGTGAAAGGGGCTAAGAGTTATGATTGCTCCAGGATCTGGTTTTCCATGAAACACTTGGGTAAGATACGTTATCTACTTGAACATCTTCAAAAGCTTAAGTATAATAGGCTGTATATCTATCTTCTGGGAGCTTTACCTAGCCACAAACAGGGTTTCATAAAGTAAAAGCTTATGCTT